ATCAAAATCTTGATTAATTTAGTTTAAATTAATTAGTTTAATTTAATATAATTTCTTGCTTGATAAAATGATTACTAATTATAATAATAATTTATAAACTTCATTATATTAAGATTATTTTACTTATATAATCATATAATAATATTATTATAACATTATATCATAAGATTATAAGTAATCTTTATTATATCAAGCTTAATTTTATTATAACTGAGTTGAACCTAGAAAAAAGTATCATATTAGTTAACATTATATTATTAAGGGATTATTATATTGAGAGTCATTATGTAATTAGTTTATTATAATAGTATTAATTTTAGATATTTTATATTTATATAATAAAATCTATTTTTATATTTAGCTTCTATATTTTCTTTATTTTTATAACTTAACTTATATATTAAATATAATAATTTAGCATTAATCTTATAATAATTATGACAAATTAAAATGAAATTAAATTAAAATAAAATTGAGATCTTTTTGAATTCTCTTTTAATATCTCTAAAATCCATATATACTCTTTTATTAATAAAAGTTATCCTAAATCCTAACTCAAATTTCAAAAAAAATCTAGAAAATTACTCTCAAAATAATATGAAATTTTTATATTAAAATAGAGAAAATTTTATTTTAATTCAATTTCATTTTAATTGTTATAATAATTAATATTTTCATTATTACATTCTTTATATAAATCAGAATATTATTTTGATAATTTATTATAAAAATAATTATAAGTATATACTGAATTATTTTACTTTTTAGATAGAATCTTTTTGAATAAAGCTTTTTTTTAGTTTTAGATATAGATCCTATAATTATCTTGATTTTTAAATTAATAAAAACAGAAAATATACTTATATTAACTTCTAATTTAAATATAGATAATATACTTATCTAAGCTATTAATAAGATCTTCTTAATTATATCAGCTTTACAAATAATATTAATAGATTCTATATTAGATATATGATTGATAATGCCATTTTGCTTAAGTAAAACTTTTGGTCTTACTTTTTCATTTTTACTAAAATAATTCAGGATTATTTGAATTTGAGATTATATAAACTTTAAAATAGAATCTGAACTAAATATCTTGATATTTTTAATCTTATCAATTTCTATCTTTTTGATTAATTTATAAAGTTTTATAGATCTTTAGACTCTTTTATATAAAGTTTTCAAAGTTATTTCAGAAAGATATTTTATTATATTCTAAAATAATTATTTTCTTACTATCTGTTTTAAAATATTTTGTTTTACTATAAGTTCTTGAATCTCTATTTCAAATATTTTTCTATATGAGTATTGACATGAAATTTCTTTTTATTTAACTTGTATAGTATTTTTTTCTCAATACTTACTTTTAAAAATAAATAAGCTAGTTCAACTTTTATCATCTTATTGGTAATAAATATATTAATAACTTTAATAATCTCATTATTTGTAAATTCTAAAAATACTTCTTGAATAAAATCTTAAAAAACTATATAATCATGTGAAACTTTTATTTCTTTAGACTGTATCAGTATTAATTTACTATTTTGTTCAAGTAGGACTTTTGGTCTCACTTTTTTACATAATTCTTTAACAGATATAAAGGATAATTCTTGATTTCAAAGCTTCTTCTTCTTAATACTCTGAATTATCTTATTACTAATCTTTTTTTATATTTTAAATTCAGAAATTCATTGATTATCTTATCTTCTAATAAGAATCTAGCTTTTAGTTGACTTAGGTTAATGCTGATACTATATTTCTTATCTCAGAGATCTTTGATAGATGATGAATTGAAGAATATCCCTCTAGTGCTCTTTTGAATCTCAAGAATTATTGATAATTCTAAACAAGCTGAGGACTATGAAATATCTTCAATAAGAAATATATCCTGTTTATTAGCATTAACTCAGGGTTGTAGTTTGATTTTCTTGATATCATGTCTTAATTTCACTATTTCAGCTTTAAGTTTAGCATTTTTAGCTTTATGCTTGGAATTTTCAGTCTCAAGATCAGATTTTTTTTTATGATCTGCCTAAGCTCCGCATTTTCAGCCTCAAGTTCAGTAATGTGGATTTTTAACAAATCTAATTCAGAATACATATTTGATAATATTTCTATAAGATATATATCTGTTCAAAACTTATTTAATAAAATCACTTTTACCAAGAAATATTTTTGTCTCAAAGAGGCATATCTTTGGTATTAAAAATTCTTGACAATATGCAAGTTAATATACATCAATAACAATATAATAAAACAAACCCACGAAATACACATGCAAAAGTAAACATGATTATGTATGTGAAATCGAGCCACCAGGCCAGTTTTATTGTTTTATTGATGCAGAAATATGTATGTATTTTATAGAATAGTAATATAAAATACATTAAATAGCTTAGTATAAGGTTATTTTAGAATTATCCCTCCTGAAATGGATTGACCAACAACCTTAAAAATTTTTTTTTGTCCATCCCATAAAAACTGAAATGTTAATTCGATTATTAGATTAATGAATTAAAATAAGGTTTAACTCATGACTTAAACATTCTTTTTTCATTTCTTCACGTCCTCTTATTCTTTCTTTTCTTTGATGTCTCACTACTTTCATCCTCTACAATTGCATCAATCTTTTTCATTTTCCGTTTTTTCATGACTTCACTTTTTGATACATTCTCAATTTCATTGTCTATCACATTACTTGATCACTTCAAATTGACATCTGGAAATGTATTACTACTCATGATGAGATTGCGAATGCTACTCTTGGTTCTAGTTTCATATTCCTGAATAAGTTTTTCAGATACCTTTGGAGAAGCAAAATGATACACTGCTTTCTTAAATGTTGGATACCCGTCAAGATGTACAAGCCTACTGCTAATGGTATCCATGGACATGCCAAACTTATCAATGGAGTTCATACAGTTTTCTAAGTTGGCTTTATCAATCAGATTTTGGTAATCCT